TCCCCCTACCTCCCACCCGGCTGGCTGGGGCCAAGCTTACTGCTCCTCCCCCAGGCCAGCACCTGTTTGCACAATCCACGCTCACAGACCTGGCGGTGGGCTGCATCCTGCTGGCGGGCTCCCTGCTGGTGCTGTGCCTCTGCCTGGTCCTCATCGTCAAGCTGCTCAACTCCCTGCTGCAAGGCCGCATAGCCCAGGCTGTGAGGAGTGTCATCAACGCAGGTGGGGGGCGTCCCGTCCCTGGGATCTGGGACCTGAGAGCAGGGCAGGGACAAGCCCGTGACCCAGCTGCCCACCCCCAGACTTCCCCTTCCCCTTTGGCTGGCTCAGCGGTTACCTGGCAATCCTCGTGGGCGCTGGCCTGACCTTCCTGCTCCAGAGCAGCAGCGTCTTCACTGCAGCCATCGTGCCGCTCATGGGTGAGCCCAGGAGGTAGTGGGTCTTGGGGGGCTCAGGATGGGGCCTTGTGGTGACCTCCCCTTCCCCAGGTGTTGGGGTGATCAGCCTGGACCGGGCATACCCCCTCTTCCTGGGCTCCAACATCGGCACCACCACCACGGCCCTGCTGGCTGCCTTGGCCAGCCCTGCTGACATGCTGCTCTTTGCTGTCCAGGTACCACCCTCAGCCCCTTCCTTGCCTGAGGTCTCTTCCTACTCCCAGCCACAGCCTAGGTTCTCCCTGAATTTCTGGAGCTCCACCCACAGCCTTGGCCTCTCCTTGGGCCCCTCACACCTTGAAGGTCTCATGGCCCTAGTCCCTGCTCTTCCTCCTGAGACCTGTCCTTTCTAGCTGCTTTCCCAGCATGGCCTGGGGCTTTACCCATACCCTCCGCCCCTTTCTCTTAGCACCGAGAGGTTCTAAGAGAAAGGGGTGGAGGGTATGGGTATTCCCCTGTGTGGCCCCTGCTCCTCTACCGTCTACCTGTGCTCGGCACTGTGTGCCCTGGAGATATGCCCTGGCCTTGGGGGGCTCCAAGCCTCTGTGCCACACTCCCAAAATGCCTTCCTTTGAACCCCTGCCCCCCCATGTACCAGTCCCCTAAACCCAACAGGTGGACCCCTGGACAATGACCTGCCTTCCCAGGCACCATCTTGCAGAGGCTCCATCCACCTGTGCTAGGCACTCCATGCCACCTGTGCCTGGCCATGGTTCTGTCTACAGGGTGCCTCCCACCAACTCTGAGCCCCCCAGCTCTGCACCCTGCTCCCAGACGACAGTGCTGCTGACTCTCTAAAGCACCCTGTCTCTGGCCCACTGCCCTGGTTGGAGCATCCTGGGCGCCTGGACAGGCTCAACTCCTGAAACCCTGGCAGGAAGAGAAGACTAGGCTTTGCCCAACTCCAGCCTGTGCCCAGCCTCTGCCCTAGCTGTCCACTCAGCCCTCCCAGCGCAGGGCCCTGCTCTACCCCCTTCCAGATGCCTGCCCGACTGCACCCCTCCTGGAGAGGTTGTGTGTTCCCTGCTGGTGTGGCTCTGGGCCTGCTCGCAGGTCATGCCTTGATATTGGCAGAGATGCAGTTACCCCACAGGGGCTGACCCAGATATGTGCAGGAGGGTGTACAGTAGGAACGTGTCCACCCCTGGTCAGAACCTGCTCTCCCAGGTGGCCCATCTCAGCCTCTGAGCAGGATGCCACAGACAAGCTTCAGACTTGGGCCCTTTCTGCAGAGTGGGAGGGCCAGGCGTTCTAAGAGCCCAGGTGACCTCCTATTACATGGCCCGGGCTCCTAACCCTCCTGCCATTTTGCCCTCCAGGTTGCCCTCATTCACTTCCTCTTCAATCTGGCCGGCATACTGCTGTGGTACTTGGTGCCCATCCTGCGGCTGCCCATCCCATTGGCCAAGCGCTTTGGAGAATTGACTGCTCGCTACCGCTGGGTGGCCATTGTGTATCTGCTCCTCACCTTCCTTCTGCTGCCCCTGGCAGCCTTTGGGCTCTCCCTGGCAGGGAGCATGGTGCTGGCTGCAGTCGGGGGTCCCCTGGTGGGGCTGGTGCTCCTTGTCATCCTGGTTAATGTTCTGCAGCAGCGACGCCCATCTTGGCTGCCAAGCTGCCTGCGGTCTTGGGCCTGGCTGCCCCTCTGGCTCCATTCCCTGGAACCCTGGGACCGCCTGATGACTCACTGTTGCCCTGGTAGAGCTTGTGGCCCCTCTCAGACTACTGCCAAAGAGGCTCACTGCTATGATAACCCTGAGATCCTGGCTTCCCAGCAGTTGTAAGGGGTGGGCACCACAGCAGACCACCCCAGCCCTACTGGCCTCAGGGTCCCATAATTGAGAACGAGCTTGCCAGGCACCCCTGGGGGAGGGGTGTGGCGCAGACTCTTGAGTCTCCGCAGCCCCTTCTTTGAAAATAAATGAGCCTGTTACCCAGGAGTAGTAGTCTTCTCCCCCAGGAGAAGCAGCGCCAATGCTGCCCCTAGCGGACATCAGCGGCTGGGGCGGAGGTGACCCGCCGCGTCCTAAGCTGCCGCTGGTTTCTCTCCGTGGCCCATGGAAACAGTGGGTTTGCAGGGGCAGGCTTCCCTCGCGAACTCCCGGGAGTTGGACTGGCTGGCGGCCTTGGGCGCTGCAGGGGAGCCCAGCAAGTAGGGCGGCCGGCCTCCCTCTGCGCCGCCTGGGGTGCTCGGAAGGAAGGCGGCCGGGCACTGGACGTCGCGTTGGAGAAGGGGGTTGAGGGACCAAGTTGTCCTCGAGGCACCACCCCCCGCCCCCGGGTCCGGGTCCTTGCTGGGGAGACAGATGCGGAGCCCCAGGCGGTGCTTAAGAGGGCCAGGGTTTCGCTTGGACGCCAGGGGGCGCCCCTCGGCCCGCGAGAACCTGCTCCACCTGCGCAACCGCCGCCGGAAGGCCGATGAGAGAAGATGAGGCCGAGCCACTGTTCCCCACACCGGGTTACAGGGGAGGGGACGGGCGCCCCGGAGGGCAGGGGAGCCCCGGGAGGCGATGCGGGTGCTGGCTGGGTGTTCCGTCTACCCCCATGCACCCCCACTGTGAGGTCTGGTTTCCACACTGGAAGGCTTGTCTCCCTGCCAGCAGGTGACTGGATACCTCCTGCAACCTGCAGCCCTGGGCTGCCTGCACCCACCCCAATCCCACCACCCCCACACTACCATCAAGGAAAGCAAGATTCGGTCACCTCATCATTCAGTCACCAAGTTGTGTGTGTGTGTGTTGTGTGTGTAGGGGGTGGTGAGAGCAGGAGCTGACCCCAGAGAGGAATACAAGTTTGCCCATCTGCCACTCACATCCTCCTGGCCCAGAACCTTTCTTCTCAGCCTAACTAGACTAGTAGGCTACGGGATGTGGCTATCAGAAAGATGAGGCCCCGGGCCAGGGCCATTTCTTGCCTGTGGACCTGTCCTTTTACCCTTTGATTCCCTTAGTGCTCCCCATGGCTCCCCAGGCCCTCTCTGACCCCTTAACCCTGATGTCCTCTAGGTCCTCCCCCAACCCCCCAGCCTCCTAGGCCTGGGTTTCTAAAGAAGGTGACTGCTTGTTCTGGAAACCCAAAAACCTGCAGGAATGGGCTCAAGCAAGACAGAACAGCCCTCACCATGGCTAGCTCATGCATCCAGCTTTGACTCCCCCACCCTGTGACTGTAGGACCCTCCTGCTGACGCAGCATCAGGTCCCTCTGAGATCCCTGGGCCTGTCTGGCTCCCCAGGGAGATCCATTTGGGGAGGCATGCCTTTTCATGGAGAGGGGAAGGAAGAATCCTGGGCACCTCTCCTTCCGAGACAGAGGAGGCCTCCCATAAAGGCTGACCACAGGGTCCTTTAAGGCCATGAGGACTGTCTGCCTGCTGCCCCTGCCTGGTGGTAATGCAGCCTCCCACTGGGACCATGGCCACCAGTAAACAGAGCCTTCCTTGTGGACGCCTCCAACAGCTGCAAGCTGGAAAGGGAGGGCAGGTGCTTAGTGCTCCCGCCACCCATCCTACCCTGCTTCCCTGGTCTTCTGGCCCTCTCTGGTGTGCATCCTGCCTGGCCACAGGCCCAGAATCAGGCCCTCCTGGCCCATTCTGTCCTCCTCTCCCCCACAGGGGCAGCAGCACACTTGGTTCAGAGTGGGAACCTGCATCGCCTCTCCCCATCAGCTCTGTAGTCACTGTCCTTGTTGAGCTCAGGCCCAATAGGCCACAGGGAGTCTTTTGCTATCTTTTATTATTTTCTTTTCTTCTCTCTCTCTCTCTCTCTCTCTCTTGGTACTGGAGATTGAAACTAAGGGCACTTTACCACTGAGCTACATCCCCAGCCCTTTTTGAGAAAGATTCTCACTAAGTTGCTTGGGGGCTCACTAAATTGCTGAGGCTGGTCTTAAACTTGTGATCCTCCTATCTAGCCTCCTGAGCAGCTGGGATTACAGGCTTGAGCCACATGCCTGGCTTCTTTCGCTGTCTTATCCCCAGCTAAAGTCCACCTCACAAGGGCAACATGAGGAACAAGGCAAACAGCTTTGTGCCAGGAAGAGTTCTGACTCATGCAGGCAACCTATATTCTAAGACCTGTTAAATAGAGTGCCATGCTGACTTCCTACCACTGTGGGCACTGGTCAAGGAAGCAAAAGCTTTTTCTAGTGAGAATGAGCCCTCAGTCTACAGACTGGGAGTGGGGTGGCTTTAACAGGATGCCAGAATGCTGGAGACTCAAATATCTTGAAGGGCAAACTGCAGGGTTGTGTTCATTTGGGGAAAAACTGGAGCTTCTCCCTCCTTGACCATTTGTAAACAACTCACTACAGGGTTTAAAAAGACTCCCTATCTACTGCCCAGGCAGTTAAGATACTCTGTATGGCCCTAAGCCAACTCAGGGGATGCTAAGGGCACCGGGAGGACCTTAGGATGCCTGGCAATGACCCTGCACACCCCACATGCCATTGCAGGCTCCAGCCCTTCTGAAGAATGGGTCTTATTTCAGTGGTCAACAGGAGCCAGCCCCCTCTCTGGACCAGTCTGTCCAGAAGGGGGCTCATCCCCCAGGCCTTGCTAGGACAGTTTGGCATTGATGCTGAGTCACCCTCTGGGTTCAGTTGGCAAACTGGCAAACATGGGCAACAGAATGCCCCTCATACCCCAAGAGCTACAGATCACGGGTCAGGGGTGGGGGAGCCTCGGGAGGCTGCTTGTTTGACAATATTTCAGTCATTGGATACCAAAAGAACATAGTGGTATTGCACATCAGGTGATGAGGAAAGGGTGCATTTCCTCTACGTAGACAAATAAGAAGTAGAAATTGCCCTCAATACCTTCCTGTTGGTAGACAAAGGGTAAAAAGTTCACCCGGAAGGCCAGATCCAGCGATGCCCACAGGCCAAGCAAGGGCAGACCCCTACGATGTAATTTATCCCTTTTAAAACGTTACAAAAACATAACTCAAATACACTGCTTTTAAAGTGCTTGATGGTGCAACCACATGGAGTTTAACTGTTTTTCCTTTATACGTTTTGTTTTCCCTCTTAAGTACAAACAGAGACAAGGCCAGGCATGCCAGGCCCTGCAGTCTCCACGCAGCTCCGCGATCCTGGGCCGCGGCTCCAAGGCGACGGGCGCTGGGCCAGCACCGTCTCCACAACACTGCGCACCGCCGCAGAGGCGTCCGGGGCGGAGTCCCTGCGCGTCCGGGGAGGACCCAGCCGCGCCGCCGGACACCAAGCCCGCTTCTAATTTAACCGTTCATAGCTCGCACCCCGAGCTAGGCTTGGAAACTCCCCAGGACAGGGCCGGTTCCGCCTCTATCGAGCTCTCCAGGGCCCAGGTGTATCGCTGGCTGCCCGCCGGGCCCCGGTGCTGCGTCACTCTGCCGCTTCCGTCCTCGAGAAGGCGCACTGTCGGGCTCCAACCCTAGTCCAGCCTACACCGCCCGCTCCCAGGCCCCCAGTCCGGCCGGAAACCCGCGCCCGGCTCCCCGCGCCCCCGCCCCCGCGCGTCCCGCTGCATTGCGGCGGTTACCAGGACGCCAACCCAGCGCAGCCAATAGCGCCAGCGCGTCGGCGAGCTTCCGAGAGTCAGCCAATGGGAGGACAAATCAATCATTTGAAACACCCAATGGACTAGACACTGTTGAGCCCGGTGAGGGGGAATTGTGATAGGGAGGTTCACAGCCGCTCTTGACCAATAACAAGTGGGCATCGTTGGGAAGACAGCCCGTAGGCCGCACGATTGATGGTGATATAACCAATCAAGTGAGCCCGCTTGCCGGCCTCGTTCTGGGGGCCCAATCCAGGGTTGGTAGAGGCGGGCGCGGTGGGTATATAAGCACTGGCGGAGCGTCGGTTGTAGCACTCTGCGCGTCTGCTCTTCCGCTTTTCAGTTCCCCTTGCTTCCCGCGCAGCCGCCACCATGAGGGAGATCGTGCACCTGCAAGCCGGGCAGTGCGGCAACCAGATCGGCGCCAAGGTGGGGGTCCGGGATGCTGCGGACCTGGCTGGGCGAGCCGTGGGGGAGGGAGATCAGCCGGCCGACCGGGGAAGATGGCGGCACCGCTGGCCGGGCGGCGCCCCGCATTGCGGCCCAAGCGCCCGCGCGGGACCGGGCCCGTACCTGGGCGGCTAGCGGGGATGGGGGTGGACTCGGAGGCTCTGTGGGCCTGGCGGCGGGGCGCGCAGGCGGGGGAGGGGAGGGCCCGCCGCGCCCATCCGGGGCGGGGCCGCTTCCCGGCGCACCGGCCGCTGTGACTCAGCCTGCGCCTGCCCGGCCTGCCCTCATCGTTTGCAGTTCTGGGAGGTGATCAGCGACGAGCATGGCATCGATCCTACCGGCACGTACCACGGGGACAGCGATCTGCAGTTGGAGCGCATCAATGTGTACTACAACGAAGCCACCGGTGAGACCCCCGCCCCAGTCCCTCTTGCGACCCCGCGGGCCTCCCCTCGCTGACCCTCTTCTTCCGCCAGGTGGCAAGTACGTGCCCCGCGCTGTGCTCGTGGACCTGGAGCCTGGCACCATGGACTCGGTGCGCTCGGGCCCTTTTGGGCAGATCTTCAGGCCAGACAACTTCGTTTTCGGTAAATAAAGGTGGGGGTTGGGCACGGCTTGCTAACCTGGGCGGCTCAAAGGTTAAGGGGCTTGCCCCAAGGACACCGCTGCTGGAATTACATAGCTGGGCCCCCCCCACACACACCTCTTGCCCTCTGAGTCACTCAGTGTCTGCCTAAAGCCGCTTTGGAGGCGGGCCCAGCTGTCTGCCTTCCGGCAAGGAGGGATAGATGTAATCTCCATATCGTGTTAGCTGTGTGGCTGTCCTTGGGAATTGGCCAGGGTTTCCCACTGAGGGTTTTATTAAACTGCCTCAACTTTGACGCCTGATTTAATTTTTTGGTGGTACGGGCTGCTGTGGTATTACTTGGGTTCATTTTCCTTATCTCCAGGGCATAATCTCACCATGTCATTTGGTATGTGTGTTGGAGACCAGTGGTGATCACATACTTAGCAAGTATGATAACTTGTTCTCTTTTTATAGGTCAGAGTGGTGCTGGGAACAACTGGGCCAAGGGGCACTACACAGAAGGCGCCGAGCTGGTGGACTCTGTGCTGGATGTTGTGAGGAAGGAGGCAGAGAGCTGTGACTGCCTGCAGGGTTTCCAGCTTACCCACTCCCTGGGTGGGGGGACTGGTTCTGGGATGGGTACCCTCCTCATCAGCAAGATCCGGGAGGAGTACCCAGACAGGATCATGAACACATTCAGTGTGGTGCCCTCCCCTAAAGTGTCGGACACAGTGGTTGAGCCCTACAATGCCACTCTCTCAGTCCACCAGCTTGTAGAAAATACAGATGAAACCTATTGCATTGATAATGAAGCCCTCTATGACATTTGCTTCAGAACCCTAAAGCTGACCACACCTACTTATGGTGACCTTAACCACCTGGTGTCTGCCACCATGAGTGGGGTCACTACCTGCCTGCGCTTTCCAGGACAGCTTAATGCTGACCTTAGGAAGCTGGCTGTGAACATGGTGCCCTTTCCCCGCCTGCACTTTTTCATGCCTGGCTTTGCCCCCCTGACCAGCAGGGGCAGCCAGCAGTACCGTGCCCTGACGGTGCCTGAGCTCACCCAGCAGATGTTTGATGCCAAGAACATGATGGCCGCCTGCGACCCCCGCCATGGCCGCTACCTAACAGTGGCTGCTGTGTTCAGGGGCCGCATGTCCATGAAGGAGGTGGATGAACAGATGCTTAATGTCCAGAACAAGAACAGCAGCTATTTTGTGGAATGGATCCCCAACAATGTGAAAACAGCTGTCTGTGACATTCCGCCCCGGGGGCTAAAAATGTCTGCCACCTTCATTGGCAACAGCACCGCCATCCAGGAGCTGTTCAAGCGCATCTCGGAGCAGTTCACTGCCATGTTCCGCCGCAAGGCCTTCCTGCACTGGTACACAGGTGAGGGCATGGACGAGATGGAGTTCACTGAAGCTGAGAGCAATATGAATGACCTGGTGTCTGAGTACCAGCAGTACCAGGACGCCACAGCGGAGGAGGAGGGCGAGTTTGAGGAGGAGGCTGAGGAGGAGGTGGCCTAAAGCTGTCTGTCACGGGTAAAGCGTGGAAGCAGTGTGAACTCTTTATTCATTCAGCTGTTCTGCAGGCCATATCTCACTGTGCACTTGCTGTCCTTCTGTCCTAACATCACATGCTGTACAGACATCACCATTAAAGCATTTTCAGTGTGCGGTTCGCCTCTCCAGTTCCTTCCGCCTCTCCAGTTCCTTCCGGTAGGCCTTGCGGGTGCTGTTGCCAAAGGTCAGCGCATAGTTGTCCTGCATGTCTGTAAGGGAGCCAGACTGTAGTTGGCTTAGGCTTGCCAATGGCCTGGGGCAGGTCTGCACATGTCTCCTGCAGGGCTCACTTGGCCTGTCCTGTCCAGGGAACCAGAGGACCAGGGTAATCCTATGCCAGCTGACCTCTGTCCAGAAATTCAGCAGGGCTGGTGAACCCCTTCCAGGCTTAGGATGGTGGGACAACATGGCCAGATAGCAGGACTGCATCAACAATGAAGGACCAAGGCCCCATGGGGCCTCCCAACCCCATCATCACTGCCACCCCCCCCCCATCACACCCAAGGACAGGATGGGGAAGTGAGTAGTAGATTCTTGGGAGCAGTACTCACGAGGGATGAAGCCCATATAGAATGGGATCAGGCCCTGGCTGTTGTAGATGGTGGTGTTTGGCCAGTGGTTCTTGGGCAACCTCTCACCCAAAGAACAGACTGGATTTCTGAACAGGAACTGGGCAGACAAAACAGGTGCTGACAAACCCTGCCTCCACTACCCACCTTGGAAGCAAAAGGTTGGCTGGTGGGACATGTTACCAGGAGGAATTTACCACTGAGCTCCATCTTCAGCCCTTATAATTTTGAGACAGGGTCTTGCTGAATTACCCAAGCTGGCCTTGAATTTGCAATCCTGCTGCTGGGACTATAGGGAAGGGCTACCATATCCCAAGACTAGTTCTCAGAAAAGGGTGATGGTGCTCATAGGTCTTACTGTTTCCCTAGCCCTTGTCAAAATATGTGACAGACACAGACCTTGTTAGGATGGGGGCCTCTGAGCCAGGTAGAACCCTTCCCCAAGCCTCTCTGGAAGCCTGGCTTTGTGATCCCTTCAGGAGGAGCTGCTGAGGGGAGTGCAGGCCTAGCTTGGGTGCCAGTGGGGCACCTGGGAGGGGCCTGGATGGTGGTCTCCTACCTGGTTCTTGTCGAACTCGTCCATAGCCTGTGTGACTCCATCGCGGTAATTAACACCCATTACCCAAGTGAACCGTGGTATGAAGCCAGCATAGCCTGGGGGTGGGCTGCTGTCAGGGTCCCACCCAGGTCCCCTTGGTTTTCCTCTGGGTATACCCAATTGTCCCCAGGTGTGTGAGGGAAGCTGGTCAACCTTTCCTAAACATTAGTGACTGTCTTGAGGGTGTAGGCAGGTCAAGGAGCACCTCCCGGGAGCAGCTGGGCTCAAAGAAATAGCTGAGGCAGGACAGGTTGGCCTGTTCAGGGAATAGGGAAGGTAGAGTGCAGGAGCCTCAGTCCCACCCCCTCCATCTCACCTGGACCCTTGTGACCTAGTGAGGGACCAGCCTAGGCCCTAGCACCCACCTGAGATAGCCTTGCGTTGGATCAGGTTGGGGTGGTCCAACTGGGGTAGCCGCTGGAACCTGCCTACATCTAGAGTCTCCTGCCTGTGGGGTGGGGGCAGGTACTCGTCCCTCCTGCAGTGGTACAGCTAGAAGGGGGAAGGGGCAAGTCACCACTCGGCTCCCACCTGGGTCTGGGGGGGAGTGAGTCCAATGCCAGCATGTCTCCAGTCACCTGGGACTGCCCTGGAACCTCAGGGACAGCGGTCTTCCACGCATCTTCTCCATATGCCAGCAGCAGGCCTGGGTGTCCCAACTCTCCAGAGTACCCCTTCCTGCCAGGTGGGCATGGGGGGTAGGGAGGGTAGGGCATGAAACCTGCAGGCAGCAGAACCTGTCTGGATATGTTCTCTGGAGACCCTTGTGCACCCACCTCCTGGGATGGGAGCTGGCCCAGGATCTCAAAGTTCTTGTATGGCTTCAGACCTGTACAGACATGGCAGCTAGTAAGCCACATGGACAGGAAGGTGGGCACAGGAATGGCAGGGCAGGGAGCAGGGGTCAGCAGCTCACCAGTGTAGTGGGGGATATAGGGCTCATTCAGGTCCCTGCAGGGGATGAAGGGGGGTTTAGACTTGCTGAAGTCCTCAATGAATTTGGGCTTGGATATAGGGGAGAGAACAGAGCAGGGGCTCTTCTGCACGCTGGGATCTGTGAGCAGCTGTGCTGTGGTGCGCCCATAGGTGTTCCCCACTTGGTAACGCAGCTGTGGATAGAAGCCGGCATAGCTGCAGAGGAAAAAGGAGGCAGGGTTGGTTAGCAAGGGAAGATCCCTGGGCAAGGTTCTTGCAATCAGGATGCAGATAGATCCAGCCTGCCTGCTACTCAGCAGCTTCCTGACCTGCCGCAGGTTACCTGACCTCACCTGTGAAATGGGGGTGGTGGGATAGGCCTGGTGGCTCACGCCTGTAATTCCAACAGCTCAGGAGGCTGAGGCAGGAGGATTGTTGAGTTGAAAACCAATCTCAGCAAGGCGCTGAGCAACTCAGTGAGACCCTGTCTTTAAATAAAATACAAAATAGGGCTGGGATGTGGCTCAGAGGTTGAGTGCCCCTGAGTTCAATCCCTAGTACCTAAATAAATAAATAATAAAAGTGGGTTGTGGGAGCTGTGTTCTGGTGCTCTTAAGCTTAAATGGTGAGAATGTGTCTGGACCAGAGCTGAGATTTGCTGTCATCACTACCATCAGATTGTCTTCTAGCCTATGCCCTACCATCTTCCACACCCTCTCTGATCCTAGTGTCAAAGACAAGGGAATTGGAGAGCTTCATCTTGCAGGAGCAAGTTCAGGGATGGTGACTTGTCCCAGCACAGAGCCCAGGCAACAGGAAGTCCCAGCACAGAGCCCAGGCAACAGGAAGTCCCCAGCTGGTCCCCACACAAAGTTATGGCCAGGACTTTGAAGGGGAAAAGTCCTTTAGCCTCAAGGGGAATCTAGGTGCTCAGTCCTGTCAGAGGCCTGTGTGAAAACCCAAGGAGTGAATTTTTTTTCTCCCTGAGACAGGGTTTCACTATGCTGCCCAGGATGACCTTGAACTGGCTCAAGTGACACCCCCCCCC